TATTTTGGCATCACGAGAGCGCTCACGTGTAGGCCCCACGTTGCTTACGTGCGTGACCGTGACGTTGTTTTTTAGACTCGTGAGGAACTTGGGGTAGTATCATTAGTAACGCAGTGTAAAGCGCGGAGCCCGTGACGTCAGTCTTCATGAGCTCCCCAGAAAAACAACACAGCCGTTAGCTCTTACACCCAGAGTTCATCACTGTTCAGAAACTAGACCACACAAGCTTAAACAAGTACATACCCACATACTGTCTGTGTCCATGGGCGAATACGGCTCGCTGGTTTAATCTTATGTCTGTTAGCCGGCCGTTGTTTGTGAGTGTGGACGGTCGGAGCATTTTACAGTTTAGCTATAGCCAAATCTCCATTAGAAAACACGCATTTTAAAAGCTTTCTTTCGCCCTGCCCGTCTGTCTGCAGACTTGTAAAAGCCTTAATTCACTGGTTTTTACTATCGCCGCTATCAGTATGATTGTTTACTTCCGGCATCATTTTGAACGTGTATTACAATTAAATCACGTCAAATATCGTTCATCTTGGTTGTAGTTGTAGCCCCCTTGACAGCGATTCTCTCTCTAGTTTTAGACTGCGTCAAAGCCAGCCCTCACACTCGAAAACTAGTAAGCCAGGCCTCACGTGATATTGCGGTGCGCGAATATCCTAATGCATTACGGTAGAGTAAACAAAAATCCTTTCCCTCTGTGGTTTAGATGAGAATAAAATAAAAACTGTCTAGTATCAAAGACTCATTCCACTTCAGGGTGATAGCAAGGACATCCATCAGTCACTCAGTAAAAAATCAGGACATTCTGATGTAGAGTTTCAAATAAAAGACCTTTGAAGTCTCATATATGAGCTATCATCTCCTGTTTTTAGATGAGAATAACACAAAAACTGTCCAGTATCATAGATCCATCTCACTCAGAGTGATAAGCAGGACCAACCCATGTAGTCACTCCAGAAAAAAATCAGGGATATTCTGATGTATCAGTTTCAAAATATATAAATATTTTAGGGACAAGGATGATAGCTCTATATGAGACTTTCAAAGGTCTTTTATTTGGAACTGTACATCAGGAATGTCCTGTATTTTCTGAGTGAGACATGGGGGTGTCCTGCTATCACGCTGGAAGCTGAGATGGATCTAATGATACTCGACATATTTTGGTTTATTCTCATCTAAAAACAGGGATGAAGCTCATACAATAGAGATTTCAAAGGTCCATTTATATTTGAAACTCTAACATCAGAATGTCCTGATTTTTTCTGAGTGATAAGATGGGTATGTCCTGCTATCCACCACTGGAAAGTGAAATAAGTCTTTGATACTGGACACATTTTTGGTTTTATTCTCATCTAAACACAGAGGGATGATTTTTTTTACTCTACCGTAATGCATAGGATATTCGCGCACCGCAATATCACGTGAGGGCTGGCTTGACTAGGTTTTCCCGAGTGGAGGCTGGCTTGACCGCAGTTAATTTAGCATACTCAGCCCGACTCAGCCTGGTTGTTCCTGGCCCGAGAACCACGATTTTATGGGGCCATTACATCACCAGAAGTCCCAATTTAAGGGGTCATTTCTCCCCAAAAATTTGTTTTTACTCACTATATCAACAGCCCCACCAAAAATATTTTCCACCAGCCGCCACTGGGCGTATAGTAATCATAGATAACACGGCAGGGTCCGTTACAGTCTGTTTTCATCTGGCTTCAAACAAACAAAGTCTTGGCTTTCAGAATATTAAACTTGTTTCGGCAAATTCAGATGATAAATACAACTTTGAAGCTTGTAACGGCATAATGACAAGCGGAGAACGGAGTAACTTAACGTCACAGCAGGCATAACAACAGCCGGTGTTTCTCGTGAGGGTTTTCCCCGGTAAACAAACACAATACACACAAACGCAAAAATACTCAAACACACACACGTATACACACACACACACACTTGTGAGCTTTCCCCAGACCAGTAATCCAAACAAAAATATCTTCCCTCTGTAGTATTTTGATCATTTGCTCCGCTAATAATCAGATCGATGGATTCCAGAGATTTTCCTCAAAAATGATGACTCCGAAACAGTCAGTGGGCACCACTTAACAGCCAATCAGAATGAGAATATGTTTCACATGTGACTTATTCAAATTGAGGGTTAGGGGGAGTGATTGAGTGACAGATGAAGGTTGTTTAGGAGAAAATGTCGAAGAAGAAAAAGTTCGGGAGTGGCGCTCGGAAAAAGGAAATTGTTGAGGGAAAAGGAGTTTCGAGACAAGCAGCTATTACAAAAAATTCCGAAGCTTACAGGTTATTTTAAATTCCTGTAGGCCAGAATGAGGGGGAATGACAGATGAATTATGTACCGAGCGGCAGCGTTGCCGGCCGCGGGTTCTCGGAGCCAAGTAAGCCGTCTGGTTCTGATAGCGATGAAGTAGCGGGAGAGGAAAAACAGACAGGAGGGACATTATCTGTTGGAGGAGATGGAGATGACGACGAGGACTTGCTACGTGAAGGGGAACCAACGTCAACCGGACAAATACATGCGGGAGGCCCGATACGTCACTCATCTGGAGGAGAGGACCAGGCGCGCGTAGAGCAGAGTGGAGAAGTGCGATCACAGAGCCTGCTGAGGCTATAAATGACTTTGATTTGTTGTTTAAATAGGGGGCCTACAAAACCAGCCATCAGCCCCAGGCCTGGCAGGTTAAGGCGGGCTTGACCGGGGACACATATTCATGTATAAAAGACGTACAAAAGTGCATTTTGCATGATAGGTCCCCTTTAAAGCATCTTTTTTTTCATATACTGTAGCTTTGGTTAACCCTTATGTTGGGAAGGAGATGTTGCTGATTTAAATAACTGTTTTCCTCCAGCATCTCCTCAAGGCACTGAATAAGAATTGGGTCCACCTTTGGGTCAAACTTATTGGCGAACCAGTGACCATAGTTGAGTAACCAACGCAACTCGCCTGCACCAAAAATGCAAACGCTGCGGACGTGTTTCCCCGAGCATTGTGGGTACAGTTCTTCCTCCAGGTACTGCCACTTCACCAGCCTGGCCTTACTCTTGAGGTCAGTGATGTCGGGCTGGGATCTGGGCACCTCTCCAGGAACACCTGGCAGGCGCACAAGGGTTGCCCAGAAGTGTTCGTCTGGAGAGTAGGTGTCCTCTGACCAGGCCAGGAAATCCTTCACCACATCTGAGGAGTCTATGTGCACAATAAACTCCCGTGAGAAGACAAAGTAAGCACTGCCGATGAACATCTCGATGCCGTGTGGAGGTGGCGTCTTCTTCTGCTCTGTTTTCATTGGAAGTTTTTTTGACTCAATTTTGAAATCCATCAGTTTGTAGCTAAAGGTGAACCTTTGCTTCTTGCTCTCACTGGGACGGCTTGTCTCTAGCATATTGGCCCCATTTAACTTCTTCAGCTCTGACACTATCTCAAAGTTGGACCTGAGGGGGAAATCTTGGCCACAGAGGTTGATGACATACTTCCACTGGACTTCCGACTTCAAAAGGTCAGAGAGACAGTTGAGATCCGCTTTCAATCGACTGATGCCGGCGTAAAAGACGGATTCTCGCTTAGAGGCTATAAAGACATTAGGCAGACAGCGGTCTAAACCCTCCACAGCTGAGATGAACTGTTCTGAGGACTTCTGATCATAGTGGATACAGTAGATGTTATTGGGCGAGTACACCACTTTGATTAGTCTCTCTATCATTAATGCAGATTTATGCACAACAATTGAGTAAGCAAGAGGAAAGTCTCTCTCCTGCTGCGAGACTCGAACAACATCATAACCTCTGGCTTTGATGAATGATGGGCAGTTTGAGGTGAGATTAATCAGGCTTTCATCGTTGTCCTCCACAACTTGCCGTCTGATGACAAGTGATTTACCCACCTCCACTGGGTCCATGTCATAAATGAGCGGACAGCTAATATTGTACTTGTGATATGCCTGGATGCCATCTAAAGCTGCTTGGGGGGGTAGAGGCTCAGTGATGTTGCTGTACTCCACACTGACCAGCAGCAGTAGACATAGTGCCAGCAGTGACAGGAGTGAACAACAGAAGGACTTTCTTCTGAGTCTCGGTAGTGAACATCTTCCATTCATTCTGGAAACAGAAACCAAAACCAAATGTTTTAAAATAGCCCTTCCGCTCGAATAGAAACCGAAAAGTTATACATTTAGTTTCGACAAAAGAACATACATTTTAATGATTGGATACTCACTCACCTTGCTTCAAACGCATGTGCCGATTTGCAAACTGTCTGAAATCACTTCCTATAAGTTTTTAAAACAAGGATAAATCGAGATGTATGGGTTGTGTGTATTGAATGCAGAAAATAGGTATTTATAATTAATAGTTACAAATAAATCATAAAGTTCAGGAGCAACTTACCGATGTCAGGAGGAAGAATTTAAATCCCGTGCCATTTCCGCTTTTTACGCACGACTGGTTCAACATCTATTGAAGACTTCCACTTGAATCCTCTCGTCATTCATCGCATTCCGAGATTTATTTTGTAACATGATCTATATAAAGCATAAAGAGCCTCAACACGCTGTCTGTCTGCCTTTAGTCATTGTGTCGGTGCGCTCTCACAAATAAGCCGAAAAGAAAGAGGGAGGGGTTCAAAGAAGCGGATAACTGCACTAATTGCATATTATAAAAGATGCACAAATGTTATCTGGCGTTTCATATGTCACCACAGATGTAAGGCAAACACTATTGTTATGTGCATAATATTGTAAAAGTTAATGGAGCTGTGCTTACATTACAAGCTATTCCTAAACGGACATCCATGCAGCTGATTAGAGAGGGTGAATGAAAACCCCGTGGTTTCTGTCATCTGAAATCACTTAGAAATCAATCAGAAAGAATCCAAAGAATCAGTTTATTTGTATTCTTCCAGGATTGACAACCTGTCATTACATTGTCAACCAGATCGTGCTATATAATTAGAAAGACGTATAACAAGTTAACCGTTCAACGGTTAGTGCTTAAAACCAAGCACGTCTCTAATGTGTCAAATTAGCAGTTATTTGTGAGAAGGGATAGAAAATGCATTATCTAACTTTATTTACATCATGTTATTGGCAGCAGATTAAAAAAAAACATGGATCAGATTTTTCCTCAGGTTGTTACAGAAACATAGATTTAAGTGTGAAAGCATTTTTATTGTCATCTTTTCAGTCATTTCCAAATATTTCACACTTTATTAGGCCTACATGTCATGTGGCAATATTTTTTTGGGACCAACTTTTTTCAGTTTTATATAACGGAAATAACAGTTCAAACACCCGTATAACAAGAGTTCACACATTTTTTTGTAGACATGTGATGTGTTTGATGAAGTAAAACCTGTTACTCAGAAACTGACTGAACTGTCAAACGTATAGGGTAGACAAGAAAATAAGCGGCTGTGGTTTGCATACAGGATATGAAATATGATTCAATAAGATGGATAGATAAACTTTTGAAAAGTGCTGAAATGATCCTCCAGTAAAGAGAAACTGATGTGATGCACTTCATGTAATTGCACATTGACAGATTCAATATAAATGTTCAGTAATAAACTTCTTGCTCTTTTATTTTGATTAGATCTCTGGATAGTAAATCTACTACTGACATACCGCAGGTTCTTCCTTCCTGCAGCAGTCAGATAAAACCAGCACAGCCATTAGTAGAACCCCCTAACCCTAACTGCCCCACACACACCACAACACAGACTATAACACCCCTTGCTGTTAAATACCAACCAACTATATGTGCAATATATATATATATATATGCCGTTAAAACTGTTACAGGATATGTATTGTATGTATGTACAATACATACAGGCCGGATGTATATTTTTTATTATATTTATTATATTTTTTATTATATCATAACTTAGTACTTTTTAATTCATTTAACATATAACATATGTAACGTTATGCTGTCTGTGGCTCTTTTTTCTGCTGTAACTACGTACATTTCCCCTCTGTGGGACTAATAAAGGTATTTTGATTCTGATTGGTGGAAAGTAAGTACATTTACTCAAGTATTGTATCTAAGTACTTTTTTGATATATTTGTACTTACATTGAGTATTTACATTTATTGCTACTATACTTCTACTCCATTACATTTCAGAGGCAGATTTTCAATTTTTTTATTTTGTCTTTTTATTTTAACACTCACAGTTACTAATTTCCTACATATAAAAATAAGCTGACATTAATATTGAAGTGCTGTACATCACAGTACTTCACATATCTACATTTGGTCCACATTGACAAACTTAAATACTCTTACATGGGTAAAAACCGGATCAAATAATAATAATAATGATATAATTCTGTGAAAAGATCCATTCTGCATAATGCATTAACTTTTGATACTTGGAGCATTTAGCTATAATTCTGATGTAGGCTACTTTATATAGTTCTGAAATGGGCCATTGCCAACTGCAACACCCTACCAATGTGGGCCTTACTGATAGAACGTGTAATAGTCAGCCTATAATCATCAAAGGTATTTCTCTTCAAACTGCCATCTCAAACATGCACCAAAGTCCAACTATGTGATCCACACAAAACAAGGCAGAGTTTTACAGCAGCTCCTTTTGTTCTTTGTTGTAGGCACATTTGCATGATAAGCATAAAGATGGGAGCTTTAAAATTACATGTTTCAGTCCAAACAAGTGTAAGATTGATAATTGATCCTCCAGACAGACAGACTCTAGGCCTAACCACTGGGTGCTTCACTTGCCTTCTTGAAGCTCTGCAATCTTCAAAAATACCGCTCATGCTGACCATTTTAGTTTTCATTCATATTTTACACATCTAACAACCTGTAGTGCTAACTACAGTCTGCAGTGGTGTAAAGTAACTAAGTACATTTACTCAAGTACTGTATTTAAGTACAATTTATAGAGAATTGTACTTCACTTGAGTATTTCAAATGTTTGCTACTTTGTACTTCTACCCCACTCAAATAAATTCAGAGGTAAATAATATACTTTTAATCCACTACATTTATTTAATATCTTTAGTTACTGTGGATTAATGATGTGAAATAGCCTATTATCAACTCTTAAATAAGACTTTAGTTACGCCTGGAGTAAATTCACAAGCTACCCTGCAGTATAGTCATTAAAACTAGCTGCACCTTTACCAGCTTTGATAACACTTAATGCATCAATAATTATAATCAAAACATATACAGTAAAGCCTATATTATTCTGAAACGGGCATCATGAGTATTTTTGCTTTTGGTACTTTAAGTATATTTGATGCTAATACTTTCGCAATTTACTTGACTAATATTTTGATTTCACTTTTACTTGTAACAGAGTATTCCTACACTCTGGTGGTTCTACTTTTAATACAACATCGGAGAAGGCTACTTTTCCCACCTCTGACAGTGTTACACGCCGTGTGACGTAGGTGACGTAGGTGACTTTCCGCATCGCCATGTTGACGTCGTTGTTACGTTGATACAGTCTATGGTTGTTGTATAATAAGAACGTTGTTACCCCGAAGAGATTTGTGGAGGGGGCATTATCATCATGGAAAGGACTCGCTGACTTGGGTGAAGATTACATTTTAAAGTACGATAATTCAACATGTTTTATAGGGCTCCAACTTTAAAGAGTCAATAACGTACAGAGTGACAATGTCACCTTGGTGGTAGATATGTATGTTGTTAGACCGGGTGTGACAGCTAATGCAGCTAATGCTAACGCTACTGTCTGAGAGCTAACTGCTAAAGCTAATGCTAACCATGAAAAACCTTAAACTGACACCTTAAACACAGATATGTTTACTAGTTTGACCTCTCGATCATTTCTGTCTTTATAAACTGTAAAACAGTACGCTTAAGTTAGTCTGCATAGCTTGAACTAAACGCTCTTTCACTTGAGATAGCTAGCCAAGGGGAAGCTACATTTTGGTCTCACAGCTGTTACATTTTGGTCTCACAGCTGTTAGCTAAACAAATGTAGCTACAATTACATTACTTCCCTTTTTAAAGTTAGTGGAATAGAAGTATAAAGCAGCATAACATGGAAATACTCAATTAAAGTACAAGTACCTAACAGAAATTCTACTTGAGTACAGTACTTGAGTAATTGTACTTCCCACCTCTATATGCTTTTTAATACATGTGACTCTGTGATCTTAGGCAGCAGAAAGGCATCCTGAGACCATGTTGGCCCGGCTGTTCAGGCTCCACGGCCTACTGGTGGCCTCCCATCCATGGGAGGTTATAGTGGGCACCATCGCTCTAACCGTGTGCCTCGTGTCTATGAACAACTTGTCATCCAGCAGCCAGATATGCAGATGGAATGACTGTCCGAAAGTGGAAGAGGTGAGTCTGCTTGACAGGAGGCTGGAGTGGGTTTGGCAGCTTATTTTAAATTAAAACAGGTAGAAGGATATGCTAGCAAGAAGTTACGTATGTGCTTGTTTTCTTACAGGAAATCCACAGCAGTGACATAATCATCCTAACTATCACACGCTGCATGGCCATCGTTTATATCTATTTCCAGTTGAAGAATCTGCGACAACTAGGCTCCAAATATATACTGGGTCAGTATGATAGGATGCTGTAGCTTGTTCAGCATTACACTTTATGCTTCATATCATTTCCATATTTACAATGACAATGCCATACAGTATATATTTTTGACTGTTATCATATTTCTTCCTACAGGCATTGCAGGGTTGTTCACAGTGTTCTCCAGCTTTATTTTCAGTACGGTGGTCATCCACTTCTTTGGGAAAGAGCTGACAGGTCTTAAGTAAGTTTGAAATGGGCCAACATACTTATTGCACAGCACACAGAATTAACTTAAGTTTGCTAGTCATTTCAATTTACGGCAGTGTCCAACAGAACTCGGTTTTTAACAATGAAGACGTGCTGCAGTGAAACAATGTAATTCCCTGATTGACATTTATCCCTTTCCCCTGCAGTGAAGCCTTGCCGTTCTTTCTGCTGCTCATTGACCTGTCCAAAGCCTGCACATTGGCCAAATTTGCCCTCAGCTCAAACTCTCAGGTATTGTCACGCACCTTGTTTCTGTGAATGTGTGAACTGTAACTGAAATCTGTTGATTCATAGCCAGAATATAGATGAGGTATCTGACAGTTGCTATGGCTCTGTGTCTTGTGTATAGGAGGAGGTTAGGGAGAACATCTCTCAGGGCATGGCCATCCTGGGCCCCACCTTCACCCTGGACGCTCTGGTAGAGTGTCTGGTCATTGGGATTGGCACCATGTCAGGTAAGGACAAATATTAGTGTTCCTCCAAAACAGCACCAGCTATGTTTCATTTTGATACTCTGTGATGATGGTGTATTAACTATTTTCTATTGTTTTCCAGGTGTGCCTCAATTAGAGATCATGTGTTGTTTTGGCTGTATGTCTGTCCTGGCCAATTACTTTGTCTTCATGACCTTCTTCCCTGCGTGTGTCTCCCTGGTCTTGGAGGTAAGGATTATTTG